TTCCGACCAATTTGAAATCTGGCATAGCGCGGTTGCTCGAGCTGGCCGTTTCCACCAGTTTCGGTCGTTTCGGCCGGGTTTGTACTCATCTGCGAGAAAACACGTAAGAGATCCCGGTAGACTGAAAAAAAATAAAAAAACAGAAGCTTACGGACGGCGGAGTTTCCGATGCGGCGGCTCCACCGGTTCACATTCGCGGGTGGACATTTTTCTTTGGTCAACCTGTGGGAAACAAAATTGTGATATAGTGTAAAAATGTACGAAACGAAAATCGGGAAGGGCCTCATCAGAAGCAGTTTTGAATTTTCACGCAGCGGCGCCGTCGGGCTTTACCCATAGTTTTTGACTCATCTGCTGGTCCTTTTACTATAATTTGGTCATGGGGGTGTTCAAAATCAAATTTCGAGCAACTTAGAGAATTTTTACATCTTTTGGCTGTCGGAGGTAGCTCCGGCACGGCGGTGGGTGATAGTCGGCTCCCTTCCCGACGACTGGTTCTTCTTCTCTGGCGGGGGGGCTGGCAGGTAAGATTAGGGTTTGGTGTGAAGTGAGGTATTTATATTCGTCTTCTTTTAATCTTAATGGTCTATCGCGTTTGATGTGAACTATCCGATCGCATTTAAACAAGAAATGAATCTGAACCAGTCATCGCGATTTGATTTATATCGTACGATTGCTTTTAAAGAAGGAACAGATTCGGACCGTCCACACGCGCGGGAACAAATCTAGATCGTCCAATCGCGGGCACGCGGATTGCCAGTGTAGCCTCCCACATGACACCATGCCAGCATGCTTTGCCACGGAGCGCGCTCTGGTTCGTCGCGGTTGCTGACTGAACCAGTCCTACGTGGCACATTTTTTCTAAATTGTATTTTAACATCTAGTTTTCGATTTTTCTTTCAAAAACACCATCAGAATATAAAATTCCACCCATTTTTTTCAAAATTATTTTTAATTTCATCATCTACCTATTTTTCTTCATTTTTACATTAAATAAAAATTTATAAATTTAAAAATTATATTTTATACATTAATTTTAAATATTTAAAAATTAATTCCGAGTATTACAATCTTTTTTTTGTCATTGACATGTTTTTGTACAGTCGACCCATTATTCAAATAATAAATGACACTCTACTAGTAGTTTTCTATTAATAACTATAATAATCTTTTTTTTATAATAAATATAATTAATTTTGGAGAAAATCTATTAGAAAATAAGAAATATCAAAATTTATTTAATTTTTTACATTGGTAGAGTATATTTCAGATTATTTTAACCATTTTTTTCTAAGATTTCACCTTAAAACTTATAATTTCACCAAATTTTTTATAAATTTAATCGACCCCATAGTTCTATAATTAATTCTTAATATTATAATTATCATATTTATTTAAAACATATAAAATAACTTAATAAATGATGTTAAAAAAAATTTTAGAAACTTAGATTATTTGTTCACAAAAGATATATTTCGAATTTCTCATGGATCAAAACAGTTTTACCGCTTGTACATTGTCTTCTCAACGCATTTTCTCTCCATTGAGCCATCCCTTAAAAACCTCAAGCTCTTGAGCACTGGCGAGATCTTGAAATGGAAATATGGCAACGATTATGACTAAGAAGATTGCCACAAACATTGGGAATGCGGTGAAGAAAGCTGCGACCAATGCCAACCCGAACCCTCACATGGCAGCAGCCTCTCGTGCCATTGCTGACCGCATCCCGCTGGTCGATTTTCTTGTCGAAATTAGGGATGCTCGGGTACGTTTTCTTTCCTTCATCTTCGTGCATCTTTGGTGTTCGATGAAATGTCATAATGGAATTTGCTTATTGTCAGCTTGAATCTTCTTTAAACTTTATAGGCTCCGTCTTCATCTGGGTATGAGTTATTAAGAAAGTTACCATCTTCTGCTGCAAGGCCCACACGAATCATCGTAATGAACAAGGCAGACCTTGCTGATCCTTCCCAATCGAAGGAGTGGATGAGTCAGTTTGAGCAACAGAACTGCTTGTGTTATTCTATGAATTCCCATAACAAGGAAAATGTTAAACAGGTGATCTCAGTTACTTTATATTTAGTCTTTTGTCTTAACAGAACAAAGTAACCTGTGGGTATTGATTTTTCTTTTGTAGTTTCTCAACTTTTTACAAGCCCAAGTCAGGGAATTGCAAAGAGCTGATCGTTCTAGTCATACTACAACTGTAATGTTGGTGGGCATCCCTAATGTGGGTAAGTCAGCTCTTGCCAGCTCTTTGCATCAGATTGGGAGGATCAGTGCTGCAGGTATAGCTCCTTTTTTCTCTTGTTCCATTCTTAAGTTTCAGTTTCAGTTTTGTTAGCACAGTCAGTGAGGTTGTGCTTGGTTATAATTAAAGTTTCACTACAATCCTGCATTCTAATTCTTACGAGTGGTTGTTTCTTTAGAGAAAGGGAAGCTGAAGCATGCAACTGTGAGTCCACACCCTGGTGAGACAAAAGATATCAGTAGCTTGAAGGTGTGGTCTATCTTCTCATTCATATTTTGATGTGGTTTGTAATAAGGGCACTGAATCAATTCCTGGGTAATTGAGGAATTGCACAAAGGATGTCAGAATTCTTAATCTTGCATCAACGGCCTCCCTCACATGTGCTTCATTTTTCCACGTCTCTTAATTGCATTTTATGTGTTTGTATCCGTATCATGGTAGAACTGAAAGCCGAGAACTGGCTTTTTCATGTTTTTGTTTTAGATAGGGAGCCATCCTAATATTTATGTGCTGGATACCCCTGGCATTTTGCCTCTGAAAACACTTGATGTTGAGGTCTGCTCTAAGCTAGCATTAACAGGTGTGATTATATCTCCATTGTCTCTGTGGTCTGGAATCTCAATTAGTTGTACAAATGAAGAGTAGACTTGAATTGCAGGAGCAATCAGTGATAGTCTGGTTGATGTAAAGGAACTGGCTGGTTATTTTCTGGCTATTCTTAACTCGGGTGATAAGTACAAGAAATGGGAAAAGTTGTGCAGCTATGATGATGGAAAAGCATTCATGGAACATAAAGCAGAGCATTCAAGTGGCTCTGAACTAGTAGAGAAACCAAAAAGACAATATCCTACAGATCACACCCAGGTAAGCATTTAATTTTTATTTAACTTGACAGAAGCAGTAAAAGAATGTTGTATCTGCTTAGGCTATTGGGATGGTTTTAATGCAGGATTTCATTGTGCGTGATGTTCGTCGGAGTCTTTTTGAGACCATTTCATATTTTGAAGGCAAGCTGGAAGATGATCAGGATTTGACGAAGCTTATTAAGTCACAGTTCATAGCCTTGATGAAGGCTTTTTCGTATTGCTGGTGAATTAGACGGAGATGGTTTTAGTAAAGTTGCTTGTAAGTTACTGAATCTGTATCGAACTGGGAGGCTTGGACGTTATACTTTAGACCCTGTTTCAAGGGACACCTGCCATCTTTGTTAAGGCCGAACTTTAAAAGCATAGTAGTAACGTTGACTGTTGGAGGAATTAATTAATTGGGTATTTTTTGTAATTATTATAAATAATTTAATTGATAATAAATTTTAAAAATTAAGTACTTACTTACTTTTTCTATTTCTTAATTCATATTATTAATTGATTAATAATTTACTAGAGGTGGTTACATCTTCTTTCATTAATCAAACATAAAATTTTAACTTAAAATACTAATATTATATTATGACAGGTGATCTATAAACTACTAATTAAATTAAGTCGAATAATACTAAATAATTTAGTTTTAATAATTATTAAAAAATAAATAAACAAGTACACTATTTTTCAAAAACAAAGTGTGCTTTCCCTGTCACTTTTAAGAGAAAAAAAAATTTATGTTTGGAATCTTTTCTAAGCGTTGTTGATGTTGAGAGGAAACCTAAAATATTAAGACACTGAAAGTGGGGTCTAGCCTTATAGAGTTAGAGCATACTGCACCCACCACAGGCTAACAACATGTACTTAATTATCCTTGTAAAAATAAAATAAAAATGTATGCCCTTAATTTTTATTAAAAAATATACCATTTAATATTTCCTGATAATTTTTAATTCTATTTTTCTTTTCTTACAAGTATAATTTTTCGGAAAAGGTTTTGTCTGCGTGGGTGGCTGTCAGTGGTTGTTTTACACGAGGCGGTTGCTTCCCGCCAAAATCGTGACCAGCTGTCGTTGTCTCAATCCTGCTTTTGGGGAGATTTTCCCCAACACTAGTGAGCTGCCTTCATCGCTTGCCACGTGTCCTTACTGACCACATTTAGTCGCCACGTAATCTTTCTCCCCCCTTCTCTGCTTCTCCATTTCTTCCTTCCTCCCCCCCCCCCCCCCCCCCCCGGGACAATAACAAGCAGTTGAAATTTCGGCACTGAACTCTCCTAATTGTTGTATTAACTTTTTTCGCCATCTCTTTATTCCCAAAATTACAAGGCAAATCACTCGAGAGATTGGAGAACCATGCACGTCCCGGTTGGTTTTGCGGCGAAATTGTGGAGTTTCCTCTCGTTTTTGCCCTTCTTCTTCTTGCTCTTGATCCTTGGCGTTCTTAAAGGTGAACCATACAAGATAATCGCATGATGATTATTATCAAAAATTTCAATGGTGCTCACATTTACGCAATAGAAATAAAATTTACAGTTCGTATATGTGTCTTTTTGTGTTTGAACAAGTATTGGATCTTTACTGAACATTCAGCTTAATGAGTCAACATATGTTTACTTCATGCGAATATGCTCATTCAGCTGGATATAGGTTAATCTTTGATGGAGTATATCAAATAGTTGAGTTGAATTACTGATTATTCAAAGGTTTAAACTGATATGAAATGGTTTAATTACTCAATCCACTCACAAGGATGATCCACTGAACGTAATCAAAGCATAGTTATATCGATCTTCCAGTATTTGAACTCTATGATCTATGATTATGATATTGTTTGGATAGTCAAGTTGATATACAGATAATTACAGAGACTTGAAAAGCTAACAGAAAATGTACAACATTGTAATTTACACTCTAACAGTCTTAAGCTCTTTTTGCAGCGGCAATTGTTTGTCCACTTGTGGTGGCAATTATTGTGGTGGGAAATTCGTCTGTTATAATAGGTCTTTGGCCTGCACACTTTGTTTGGAGCTACTACTGTGTGGTAAGGTGTGCGTCCTTGGCATGAATCCTGCTGAATTCGAATGTCTGGGTTGTTTTTGCTAGCTCTTTTAAATTTTATGGAACAAAAATTTTTAGGACCAAGAACGTGGGACTGGTTCTGAAGATAGTGGTGCTGCTGTTGTTGCCAGTGCCTCTGATCCTTTGGCCAATTATGGGCATTGTTGGAAGCTT